TCTAATACTAGATTCACGCTGCTGAAACCTCTTTCTGGTTAATCTTTTGAGCCAGGTGTTTCCCAGGAGGGCCAAGACGACTCAGCAAGCGCAAGGGGGTAAAAAACTTCAATGAAACAGATGTTGGGATTTGGATTTAAAGATCTGCCGCAAGAATTCTCTGTAGTGATGAAGATCACTGTAGTGATAAAAATCCCCACAGAAGTTGAAGGTATGTATTTCAACGCACGGTGACCAGATTTAAAGGTGTTTTGCATTCCTTAGTCCACTCGGGAAAATTTAGCCAGACTTTTCTGAAGAACATAATGTCTTTTGATATAGTTAATACATTTAATTGGCTGGCTTTGTTTTACATTTATAGGTTCCTCATTCCCATTAGGCTATTTAGACTAAGTAATTACATTAATTGGATGCTGGTTTCATTACCGTAAATAATCAAAATCATAAGTGTATTGATTTACATTGTGTTTCAATTGTCTTATTAATTTGGAAAAACGTGGTATTCTAGCTTTAAAAATATTCTGTGAATGTCCATTACTAGTAGGTACAAGTTTTGTTTCTTCATAAATATTCTCTGCATTTAATACTAATTATAACATAGCCAAAAAGTTTACCTGTTTCTTTATCTGTTCAGTCCCTACAACTAAAATATTAACTTCTTAAAGACAAAAACTATGACTTCAGTTTTATTTACAGTAAGACTTAATACATCATACATATTATGATGAAATTACTAGGTACTCAAGAATAAAAATGTTCTTTTTTAATAAGGCATGCTAAAGATTGTAATTTCTAGTTTGTAATGACTAATATAACGTAATATCATTTACAATCATCATCATTTATTAAAACGAATTTCTGTCTGAGCAAAGCAAGCACAACTGTTTAACATGACTTACAGATATTCTTTCATATACTCAGGCAGAAATTTTAATCATGCATACTGCAATTTTTCTTAATGTCCTAGGCCTTTGAAATTTTCGGATTTGTACCACAGATCTCTGTGTTTTATTTAACTGTAAAGGAAAAGCACTTCCTCAAAGTAAACATTTAAATTAAGAATTTTTGTGGCTCAGTTGTTTGAGGGTTGTCCCATGCACCAAAAGTTTGACGTTTTGATTCCCGGTCAGGTTGCAGGTTCCATCTGTGGTCAGGTTGCCAACAGGAGGCAACCCACCAGGAGGAGGAAACTGATTGATGTTTCTCTTTAATATCCATGTTTCTCCTTCTTCCTCTCTCTCCCTTCCTCTCTCTCTAAAATCAATAAAAACATATTTTTTAAAAAAGAATTCTTACTAGGCATCACTGCTTTTTTCCTTTTTTACTCGGCATGCATCCTTCCCTATCATAATTGGTATTAAAAAGACAAACATCCAAAAAATAAATAAAAGACATCCTAACAAACATAGCTATAGTAGTGTGTAGACTGTCCTTGTGTGCAAAGGTATATTTGCAATTCTTTGTAGTAGTTGATAAGCGGATTAGGATAAAAACCCCCAGCAGATTCTCTATGCAGTTCTAACTTCTGCAAGAATCTGGGATAAGAGTTCAAATAGTAATTCAGGTACTTGTAGAAGCCACTATAACTGAAAAGGAAATGTGTATTGAAGAACCATTGTGTATTGAGAGGGGCATGTTTTGACAAATAACAAAAGAATATACCCTGGGTCTTGTTGATTTTTCTGACAGGAATTTGGCTGTAATCTTAGACTCCAAGGTTTAGGACAAAGCTACAAGTAATTTCCTGCTATTTTAATGCTAATTTCAGCTGTCGTCTAGAGTCCTTTTTTTTTTTTTAATCCTCACCAGAGGATATTTTTTCCCCCATTGCTTTTCAGAGAAAGGGGGGAAGGGAGAGGGAGAGAGAGACCAAAGTGAGAGATACACATTGTTTAGTTGCCTCCTGCACCTGTGCCTGCTGGGTCCAGGGCGGAGGACTCAGTCCACAACCAAGGTTCAAGCCAAGCCCTTGATCGGAATCGAACCCAGGACCTTCAGTCCACAGGCTGATGCTCTAACCACTGAGCCAAACCCGCTAGGGCTGTCTGGAGTCTTTAATTCTAAAACACAAAGTAGTTGTTGATCCTGTTAAAATACTAAAAAGTTCCTAAAGTTCAAACATTTATTGGAGAAAATCAAGGCAGTGCTTATACCTTCAGGGATGCTTTTCAAGTGAGCGTTTAACAAAATCCCACGGTAAGCGCATTTGATGTTTTATGCATGGTATCCAGAGAGTGACAGTCACTCCCCAGGGGTATTGTAATTAGAAGATAGGCATAGGCATAGAAAATAGTTATGAGCTCCTATTTTAGACTTATGCTCACTGTCTGCCAGATATGTACCCTTAGCACATTTGGCATATTTTTAACACTCTTAGACTATACAGATCTCGAGAAGGCGGTTTATTAATTTGTTTCTTTTATGTGTGTTTGTACATACAATTCACTAGTTTTTCCCTTAGTTTCACACCATCCTAAAAACGACGTTTAAAAAAAACAAACCGTAATAAATTGTATTAGCTTCCTTTTCTCCCATTCCGTAGAATTGTTTTAGTTAGGGACGCGCTGGAGAGAGTTCCTGCCGTAAGTATTAAAGGAAAGTTCTATTTCTTTTTACTTGCATGAAAAAGTCCATTTCAGGTTTCACTTCCAGGAGTCAATCACTGTGGACTTAACCCTGAGATAACTTTTGAACAAATGGTAAAATTCTCGTTCTCTGCTGGGTTTTCTTTGCCGAGCAAGCCCGTTTCCCTAGTTCAAGATGGTGCCCCCACCCCATTGAAAACCTTAAACCCCACGGCGGCCTCGGGGAGGCGCCCGGCACCGCCCGGCGGGGGCGGTACCAATCGCTGGCTTCTGCGTTGACGGACGGGCCAGCGCGGTGCCAGGAACCTGCCGCTGTCTCCCCGGGCACCGGCAATTGGTTGCGGGGGACGGCGCGGAGCCAATGGGGAGAGGGCGCGGAACCAATGGGGAGAGTCCGCGGAGCGCGGGAAAGAGCCCCGTATAAACTGTGCCAGGAGATTCGTTTTCTTGTTCTGGTCCAGTGAGGCGCCCTGCGCGGAAAAGGCAGTTGGCCGCTCGCATCTCCTCTCGTTTGAACATGGTGCGGACTAAAGCGGACAGTGTCCCGGGCAGCTACAGAAAAGGTGAGGCAGTGGAGCGGGGTAGTGGAGGGCAGGCTGTGCGGCTCGNCCCGCCGCGGGCGGGAGAGGTGTGCGGGGCAGGGGGGTCCACGGCTCTGTGTGCCAAACTCTAACAACTGCGGGCTTGGAAGCAGGGGCCCAGCCCCTTAAACAGGAGGAAGGAGCGGAGGGGACAAGGGAGGGTTATCCTACTGTTCCGGATCCTGGGGCTCTCCAAGCGCTTGGGTCCGGACCGTGGTGAGAATGGCTCTGAGGTTTGGTGTCGGCGGAACCTTACTGTCCCCTTCTAAATGCCCTCGTTTGCCTGTCTCCGCAGTGGTGGCTTCTCGAGCCCCCAGGAAAGTGCTTGGTTCCTCCACCTCTGCCACTAATTCCACGTCGCCTTCGTCCAGGAAAGGTAAGAAGCGCTCCTGCAAGCTCCTGGTGGAACTCTCTCGAAAGGGGATCAGGCCTTGCACCACAGTTCTCCCCTTGGCACCACATTTTTCCTGACCTGCAAGCACCCTGACCCATCGTGGAATTGATTTTCCTGAGATCCTCATGCTCGAATTTCTTCCTTGCCCTATGATATACTGAGGGGGCCATGGACTCCTGGAGAACTGGTTTAGAGGTGCGGAGCGTATGGAAAAGAATCTCAAGCCTCGACGTTAGGAACAGTTTATCTTCAAACCTATTTTTTCTGGTTTAGAGTTTTTATTTTTAATACTGAAAAATGGCTCTTTTAAATTTTTGATGGATTTTTTTTTAGAGAGAGGAAGAGAGAGAGAAACATTGATTGGTTGCCTCCCCTGAGGGCCCCGCCAGGGATCTTATCTAATCCCAACCTAGGTATGTGCCCTGACTAGGGATCTGACCACAACCTAGGAATGTGCCCTGAACGAAATCAAACCCAACAGCTTTTGGTGTAGGGGGATGACGCTCCAACCAATTGAGCTACACCAGCCAGGGCACAAATGGCTTTTTCTTGTAAGAGATTATGAAGTATCTCTTTACTAGATTAAGAATTAGGATGACAGTTTGCCAATACTAATCACATTGTCTTCTTAGTGTAAACGTTTTGTTTTCATTTTTGCATGTTTTTCTCTTCCCTTTTTAAATTTTAATTATTTATTTTTAGTATAGCGTCTGTGTGTTTTCCAACTTTGCAGCTCCTGATACTGCCTTTGAGTCATAGTAATGAAACCCGGCCAGGGAAATAGCTTAACACTGCTCCTGTGCAAGGATAACTTGAGAAAATACCATGCCATCTGTTACCTGATTCCTTTTGGTAGGAAACTGAGGGTAAGGAAGATTAATTCCACAAGGTCTAGTTAAGAACATACAAGAAAGCCCTGTTAAAGACTTCATGGGTTTTATGTTAATTCAAATTTACTCCTATTATAAACATTTTATTAGAAAATATTTACTATTTCAATTTCTTGAGATAAAAAGGAATAATAGGTCAAAAATTTTGAAACTAGATGAATTTATTGAGAATATCTTATACCCTGTATCACTACACTAATTTTCACTTAGGGGTACATTATCTCGCCCATTGTTGAAACACAACTGAATAGGTCCTTAATGAACTTGTGTTGGAGAAATGTACCTATTAAAGCATTTTATAGATTTCTATTTTTAATCAATAATTAACTATATGAAATTGGTAACATCCTTAATTTAAAGATGAGGAAATTTAAGTTCAGGTTACATCGGTAAAGGTCACACAACTAAATCTGCAGAGCTGGGTTTGAATTCTCTGCTGAACTATCTGTTGCTGCTACATACTTTCTAGTAGTGAAAGCATTCTCATAAGTTTCCTTCAAGAAAATTATGAACCAAAGGATCGCTATTTTTAAAGGCCATTTGTACTTTTTAAAAAGTACAAACATATAACTTCAGACAATATATATGGGATTACTTTCATCAGTTTTTTTGACAGTTAGAATTTGTGACAAATGTGTTTAAAGCAAAGGATATATGTTGTAACAATAATTTGCTCCTCTTGGTATTCTAATCATTATTTTGTAAAAAGGATAGAAATTTTCCCTTTATATTACTGTTTTAAATAATCAGGAATTGGATTTGCCTTATAAAAAGGAGTCAAGTACTTTGAAAAGTGGAACCTATTTATGTGGAAATGTTCACTGCTGTACACTACTTATTTAGCCTTCTATATCTGCTTTAACTAAATGACCTTATTAAGTAAAAATCTGTCAGTTTATCCCTGACTGGGTAGGTCAGTTGGTTAGAGTGTCCTCCCGATATGCCAAGGTTGCCAGTTTTGCAGGTCAGGGCACATACAGGAATCAACCAATGAATGCTTGGATGGGTAGAACAACAAATCAATGTTTCTCTCTCCCTCTCTCTCCCTTTCCCTTCTTCTTTCTCTAAAATCAATAAATAATAAAAAATTTTAAAAATTTGGCAGTTTATGGTGCTAACTTATATTAGGAAAAAGTGTGTCAAACTTCATTATGACAATGCATAAGGCTATTTAAATAGCTTTGCTTGTAAATTAAATATGAAAAATATTTTCCAGCTGTAAAAATTCCATTAATGCTATTTTCTAGGCTAAAGGATAATTATAATAAAGTATTATTGTACATTACTCTATAATACTATATAATGTACTATTAACGGAATACAGCTTTATTTTCTCACATTTTCCACTTCTTTATTTTAAGATGGATGTAATACCATTTAATACCCTTTAGATTTGATTAAAAAAAATTAAGTTTCCCTTTACGAATGGCTAATGTATTCTTAGTTCTTATTTAGTTCCACCTGTTTATATTTTATAGCTGAAAATAAGTATGCAAGAGGGAATCCAGTTTGTGTGCGCCCAACTCCCAAATGGCAAAAAGGAATTGGAGAATTCTTCAGACTGTCCCCTAAAGATTCTGAGAAAGAGAATCGGATTCCTGAAGAGGCAGGAAGCAGTGGCTTAGGAAAAGGAAAGAGAAAGTAAGTTTTTATATTCTGGAATATAAGAAAATATTTATATTCTTTAAAATAAAAGACATCAGGATATTGAGTAACTTTAAAGTTTCTCCTTGAGAAGATAAGAAGATACAAACCAAAGGATTTTTAAAACTTGTGCTAATCTCTTATTAAAAATCACTCCCAAATTTCAAACATCAATGAAAGGTATTATTTTTACTCATTCCAGTCACTTAAAGAGGATCAGTTCACATCAAGATGAGTGCTACATATTATTAACCATGAATTTCCTGTCTTTAGTCTTTAACTTTTAATGTCTGTTTTCTAGTCTTTTCCAACAAGCAATTTCCATGTTGATTTATCTAGTTTGAGTTTTATTAACCCTGCTCCTTAAAAAACTTAATTCAACCTCCAGATGAAATATATACATAACCAATGTAGAAAAGTTGGAAAACATAAAAACCCCACCACTTAGAAACAACCAAAACTAATTCCATTGTGTATTTTCTTTACAACTTCTCTATAAATACTTAAGAAAACTTCAAAACAAGGTGGGAATAAAACTGCACACATACAGAATTCAGTATGCAAACTTTTTAGGAAGATAACTCATGCTTTTTAAGCTTTTAATGTGAGGAAAATAAATGCTTATGATAAGTGTTAAGCAGAAATTCTGAATGCAGAAGTACAATCTTTTTGGAAAAGTACCAAATGTCTATGAAATCCACCAATTACTAATAATACTGAATGAAAATATACCAGATATCAGTAGAGATCATCTCTTGGTCCAGAGTTTGATTCTGACCAAGGGCACGTACCTTGGTTGCCAGTCAATCCCTGGCGCTAGTCGGGGTGTGTGTGGGAGGCAACCAATTGATGTGTCTCTGTCACATCAATGTTTCTCTCTCTCTCTCTCTCTCCCTCTCCCTCTCCCTCCC